CTCCCTTAACAACGAGACAGCAGACTTTGCGACAAATCCTCCACGTCCTACTTCCATCGGAGAAATTCCGACTTTTAACCTCTCTGCTCTGCTTCGGCCCCTAATTCCAAAACACCTAAGCTTTTTCCTTTTTCCTTTCACGTGCTTCTTCTACCGAGTCCTCCCAGGGAACAGTAAGCTCTATGAAACAGACTCTATATGAAATAGGCCAGAAGACCATATGATGCCTTAGATTTGTAGAGGCTATTCCTGGGGATGTACAAGCCTTCCTTCTAGATCACAATCATAAGCATCCTCTAAACTGCCCTGCCTCCTTCTCATCTCTTTAACTTCCTCCTTCTCTTGGACGAACCGGATTGCTACTTTTCTTGGCCATAGACCTTCCTAAATCAACCCGCCTTCGCTTTTCTTCAATGCATGCAGCTAAGCTTCTTAATAGTCGGGAACTTGCGACAAACTAACCTTACAACTCGACAACATATGCCTTTAAACTGGAGTACGTTGACATAAAAAACATATCGGGTCTCCATCAGGATGCTCATTTTTGAGGTTTTGAAGTTGAAATTTGTTCCCTTTTTGACTTCATCTACACCTTAACTACGGCAAAAATGTTCAATGAGAACATTTTTGGCCACATTTTCTAAACATGTGCCATCATTGGCATTGTGTTACAGAGATGTCCCTTAGATAGACGTTACTGGGTAGCAACGCATGTCGTGTACGTCTTTTTCAGTGTTAATTGTGCCTTTAAAGATGGGCAGGTTTTTTATGACACGGGGTTTAACACAACTCCATACTATCACAGACCTTCTAAGTCTTATATTGCATCTGTCCAAGCTTTAAAAAAGATCTAGAAACTGGATTTTTAGAACAAACTCAGGGAAGTGTGTGGTACCTTTCTAAAACGTGTGGCAAATTAAACAATTTGCTCAAAGATTGTACATTCCATCACAAGTGGATGACTAGACAAAGTTTTAAAACCACATATTGGTAAATTGATAGAGTAACCTTAACTGGAAGTGTTAGAAAGTGCATCCATCGCAGTAATCTCTGCATTTTCTAGGTTGAAGTTGGACGAAAGACCGATTGGGATTTGGGAGTTGCAAGCAAGTCTATTAATCGAAAAGGCAAATTTACTGTAAGCCCCGCCCACGGCTACTGGTTTCTCAGTCTGCGAGATCGGACCGAGTACTCCTTTCGAACAGAACCCCCAACCAACCTGACAGTCAGCGTCAGACCCTCGCGGATTGGAATTTATGTGGACTGCGATAAAGGATTAGTGTCATTCTACAACGTGGAGGCCAAAATTCTCATCTACACTTTCACGGGTAGCTTTCCTGACACAATCCATCCATTCTTCAGTCCGTGTACAAACAAATCAGGACAGAACGAGGCTCCTTTAGTTATCTGTCCAGTTGCGGCAACAGAATGAGATGGGTCAGCCTCCTCACGTCCGTGAGAAATCCCATGTTCTGTGGATGTTGTTAAGCGACTGACATTAGAAAAACAAAGCTATGGACACAAAATGCTCAAAATTGCACTTCACATCTGCGGAGAGCAAATTATTTGTTTTAATCTTTGCTGTATATGACGTTTCTCTACTTTATGCCGCTGTGTTAATGTTCAGAACGAGGTCAACAGGAGTTCACATTACCACTGTAACATACCGACTACTAGTGCTGGCATTCACTTGGAGGTAGTTAATGAATTATTTAAGAAGAATGAAATGCTCTCTGAAACAGTAACTACTCGAAATGGATGTTTATTTATGACGTAGATTACCTGATGGCCTGTGTCAATGTCATGAAAGGGTGTTCTAGTGTGGGCAGTAGCAGAGGCTATTATTCATGTGTGGGTTGCTGGCTCACTACACAACTACCTTACTTGAATGGTATATGAAGCCTCTCATATGAAGTCTGTCTGTGGCTTGACAAATGTCTATTTTTACTAATAAAGTCTCTGGAGATAAACTATTTTTTTTTGTTATATTTCTGCTTTTTTTCTGCGATACTGTCTCGATGTTCTTGCATGGCTCTCTTACATAATGTTTCAATGGACATAGTAGCATCCGTTGATTTCAGTTAAAATCAATTTCCTTTCTGTTCCACCCTACTGAAATAGTTGCCTACGTGTTCCTTCTATATGAGTTTATTCAAGTTGTGTACTTCGTGCATTCGAGTGTTTGTACAAAACCAATAAGTGTTTTGTTGAAAAATGGTCGAAATGATACTGAAATGTCACAACTGTATAATTTTTTGCACTTGATGTATCCATTAAGCTTTTTGTTTGCATCTCATGTATATAATAAAATATTGTAACCCACTATTGAGTATGTACACGTCAATGATAGGCCAGATTCAATAAGCTAGAAAATAAGACATAGACATAGACAACTTTTACTGTCATTTTGCATGCAAAATAAGAGACACTAGGCTCTGGGGAGAGCGGAAAAAGACACCACACAAAGATAAAGGTTTTTTTTTTTCTTTGAAATATTTACAATTACCAAAAATAAAAGATTTTACCCTTCAAAATAAAATAAAAAGTATAAATCGTCCTTCATAAGTTGGGAAATAGTCCTTTAGATTCTCACAAGAGAAGAATAGAGTTCCTTTCAGGTATTGTTCAAAAAAGAAAAAATGGTTCCTTTTAGTAGTTCACTTCAGGCCGTTATCCGTGGTTTGGTTCGTAAAGCGTTAAGTCAAGTCAATAAGTCAAGTCAGTCAAACTCAGTTTTATTGTGACACATGCACATAATCCACAATCCTACCAGCTATGCCACGTGAAATGACATAGAACAGGATCAGACTCAACTGGATGGGTGGCTCACCATCTGATGTCGTCATCAATCCTCAGCGGAATCCAGATCCAGCTCAAAAACTTGACCGAGACAATTCAACAAAAACTATATTCGACGAACAACTTTGTCAAAACATTCAGCATTCACAGAGATGGTCGCTCCGTGCTTTAAAAGGAAACTTAAATAACATAAACATGTTGTGGGGAGGAAACCCAGGAGACCCACCTCAGGGACTCAGTCACAGGTGTGTCCAACTAATGATCCTGGAATTCAGCACACCTGTGGCCGCTTACTGGAGGAGCCTACATAAGGACGCTGAGACCTTCAGTCTTCGCTCGGACGTACTGCCTGTATGGTAACTTCGAGCCCAGTACTAAGTCTGATTTCTGGATTTGTATCTTTGACCCTGCATACAGTGATTAACTGTCTTTGCCTGATCTTTTCTCCAAGGAACTACCCCAGTGCTCCTTCCACGGCTTCCAGCTCCCACGCTCCCCGCGTCCTGCCATCCCTGCCCTGCGGGCCTCCTGCGGTTTGTCTGTTAATTTCCTTCCCTACGTCTGGGAGAATAAACGGTGGCGTGCCACCTCCAAAAGACTGCCTTACCTGCCCTCCTTGTGTTTTTTGCTACAGGGGTTCGGTTCTCGTTGAGCCCTTAACAGAACGTCAGAGCCCGTATATGAACCCAAGCGAAAAACCTGACCCGACAGATGGACTGTCCCCTAACCATCTTTCCCCCGCAGACCTTCTGGCTGACACGATGGCTGGTCACGCCAGGCAGTTGGAGTTTCTAACAGCTCAGCTCAACCAAGCCTTCACCCATCTGTCTGAAGAGATCAGCACCATGCGGGCCTCGGTTCACAGCTCCACCGATGAGCTGACCAGACTCTCTGGGCTGGTGGCCAATTTTCCCCAGACCCACCCTCCTACCCCGTCGAACCCCGAGCCGGCCCTTGGTATCCCTCCTCATTATCATGACTTGGCTGAGGTGTTTAGCAAGGCGAGGGCCCTCTCCCTCCCCCCTCACCGTCCCTATGATTGTTCCATAGACCTCACTCCCCGGAGCCACCCTCCCGGTTAGTCGCCTGTACAATCTCTCTGTCCCTGAAAAAGAGGCTATGAAAGATTACATCACCAGTCCCTGGCCGCCGGCATAATTCGACCATCTTCCCCGGTCGCTGCGGGCTTCTTCTTTGTTAAGAAGGATGGTAGTTTGAGGCCTTGCATTGATTACCGTGACCTAAATAACATCACAGTCAAGAATAAGTATCCTCTCCCCCTACTTAACTCCTCGTTCGAGCCTCTTTCTCAGGCCACCATCTACACCAAACTAGACCTGAGAAACGCTTACCACTTGGTGCGCATTAAGGAGGGGCATGAGTGGAAGACCGGGTTTAACACCCACCTTGGTCATTTCGAGTACCTTGTTATGCCTTTTGGCCTTACCAACGCCCCTGCTGTCTGCCAGGCCCTGGTCAACGATGTGCTCAGGGACATGCTCATTACATTTGTTGTAGTTTATTTGGATGACATCCTTGTGTTTTCTAGTTCTGAGGAAGAGCACCGCTAGCATATGCGTCTGGTCCTGCAGCGATTGCTAGAGAATCGCCTCTTTGTCAAGGCTGAGAAGTGCGAATTCCACTCCGCCTCTGTCGAGTACCTTGGGCACATTCTGGAGAAGGGGGGGGTCCGCGCTGATCCCAGGAAGGTGCGTGCGGTGCAGGAATGGGCTCGTCCTATGGATCGTACGCAGCTCCGGCGGTTCTTGAGGTTTGCTAATTTCTACTGCCGCTTCATCCGTGGTCTCAGTCGGGTTGCTGCACCCCTTTCTGCATTAACCTCTACCCTCCACCCTTTCTCCTGGTCTCCAGAGGCGGAGGCCGCCTTCCTAGCTCTCAAGGAGCGGTTCACGACGGCCCCTGTGCTTTCTCTTCCGGACCCCGACCGACAGTTTATTGTGGAAGTCGATGCGTCCGATGAGGGTATTGTGGCTGTTCTCTCCCAGCGGTCTGGGGAGGACCAGAGTATACATCCCTGTGCCTTTTTCTCCCGGAGGTTTACCCCCTCTGAGAGAAATTACGACATCAGCAACAGGGAGCTGCTGGCGGTGCATGCTGCCTTGGAGGAGTGGAGGCACTGGTTGGAGGGGTCCAAGCAGCCATTCATTGTTTGGTCCGACCATAAGAATCTGACCTACATCCGGACGGCTAAGAGGCTAGGCCCTCGTCAAGCAGGCTGGGCCCTGTTTTTCAACCGGTTTAATTTCACGCTCACCTACCGACCTGGTCCCACCAACTCAAAAGCAGACTTCCTGTCTCGCTGCTTTCATGTGAGTGTCCCCAATCCCGGGTAGTAGGAGCTATATCCTGGGGTATTGAGTCAGTGGTGAAACAGGCCCAGCGCACTGAACCCGATCCAGGCAATGGACCCCAGAATCGGCTTTTGGTTCCCTCCTCTGTCCGAAGCCGTGTGTTGCAGTGGGGTCACTCCAGCAAGTTTTCCTGTCACCCTGGCGCTGTGAGAACTATTGCATTCATAAGACAACTTTTCTGGTGGCCATCTCTGGAGGCTGACACAAGGGAGTTTGTGGCCGCTTGTGAGGTTTGTGCCCGTAGTAAGACCTCCCATCGCTCCCCGCCGGGTCTCCTGCACCCATTACCCCTCCCTGGTCGGCCGTGGTCGCATATTGCCCTGGGCTTTGTTACTGGTCTTCCCATCTCTCAGGGAAACGACACCATCCTGACTCTAGTCGACCGGTTCTCTAAGGCAGTTCATTTCGTGCCCCTTCCCAAACTCCCCTCAGCTGCTGAGACGGCGGAGCTCCTGGTCCAGCATGTCGTTCGCCCTCATGAAATACCCAAGGACATTGTCTCTGACCGCGGCCCCCAAATCATCTCCAAGGTCTGGCGGACATTCTGCAGGGGTATCGGCGCCACAGCAAGCCTTTCCTCTGGCTACCACCCCCAGTCTAATGGGCTGGCAGAACGCACCAACCAGTCTCTGGAGACAGCCCTACGCTGCATCACCACGAGCAATCCTGCCTCCTGGGTCAAGTACCTACCCTGGGTTGAGTACTCTCTCAACACCCTGGTGTGTGCAGCAACCGTTATGTCCCCATTCCAGGCATCCCTTGGCTACCAGCCTCCTCTGTTTCCTCGTGAGGAGGTTGATATCTCTGTGCCCTCTGTCCGAGCTCATCTCCGTCGTTTTCGCCGCATCTGGACATCTGCTCGCGCCACGCTTCAGAGGGCAACTGAACTATCTTAGCGGGCAGCCAACCAGCGGCGGTCTGAGGCCCCTTCCTACCAACCTGGACAAATGGTCTACCTCCGCTCCCATGTATCTTTGACCCTGTGTACAGTGATTAACTGTCTTTGCCTGATCCTTTCTCCAAGGAACTACCCCAGTGTGCCTTCCACGGCTTCCAGCTCCCACGCTCCCCGCGTCCTGCCATCCCTGCCCTGCGGGCCTCCTGCTTTTTGTCTGTTAATTTCCTTCCCTACGTCTGGGAGAATAAACGGTGGCGTGCCACCTCCAAAAGACTGCCTTACCTGCCCTCCTTGTGTTTTTCGCTACAGGGGTTCGGTTCTCGTTGAGCCCTTAACAAAACAACTAATAAATACTTTTATTTCAATTTCTAGCTCCGAGGTGGAGCCTTTAGCTTCCTAGTTCTTCTCAGCTCAGTTGACAAACGGTTCTACGGGAAGCTGTTTATAAACGCATGTCAAAATAAAAGTACCACATTGTAACTGTCACAGTAAAAGTACCGCTATATCAAATACTTATAATTATGTTTTTAACAATAAAAACCGATCATCCATGAACTGCTCATCAGAATTATCACTATTTATTATCCCATTTCACTATTTATGATTTTCAGCAATGTTTTCAGTTTCTGAAAATTGTTTCGAGGGGGGGATCTCAGAATAAATATGTCCAAGTTCCAAGTAGTGGTGTCGGCGTGATTCTGATCCAACTTTCTTTATTGCATTTTACAACTTGACACACATCAATCATTAGTACAATGAAAACACAGTAGTTATAGATAGAGAGAAAAAGAAGTTCAAGCTGATTTCTCCCAAACCCCAGCCCACCCCAAACGCACCCCGTCCAGGTCCAAACACAAGACAAACAGCCTGCTGGGATCCAGTCCCTGTAGCAGTTTCTAGCAACACGACATACACACACATCCATCCACACCCATTCAAAAGGAGGCAGGAAAAGAAATAAAGAAAAAATAATAATACTGAATGAATAAATAAATGAATATGTGCTTAAGAATACATCTTAAGTTAAACAAGTATACAAATAATTACAAATTACAAATGAAGAAGGAAAGAGAAAGAAAAAATAAAATAATTAAAAATAGTAATTAAAAATAATAATAATAATTCATTAATTATAAGACGGAGATATATATCGGTTAAAAACAAAATAATTGGATTGGATATCAATGGGAAGGCTTACAGATAATTTAATTTTCTTCTGAATCAGGTAGCAAGGTCATGGTACCCACAATAGATAGGAAAGGTATCCAAGTCTCCATAAATTTACTGGTGGAACCCTTAAGTGAAAATCTGAGTTTTTCCAGCTTCAGGTTGTAAAGAACTTCTCTGACCCAATAGTCATGAGACGGGAGGACGTTTAGTTTCCATCTAAGTAAAATAAGTCTTCGAGCCAAAAGGGTAGTGAAGGCTAGGGCTTGTTTCAAAGAACGCGAAAGGTCCGGGTCTGGAGGGATGCCAAATATAGCTGATAATGGATTGGGGAGAATTGTCTGATTATATGCTTGACTTAGTGTTTTTAAAATGTTACCCCAATACCTGATTAGCTTTGGGCACGCCCAAAACATGTGGGTATGGTTAGCTGGCGACTGTCCGCACCTATTGCAAATGTCGCTGACTGATGGGTAAATCTTTGCTAATTTTGCGTTTGTGTAATGCTGTCATGTTGGGTTCGAAGCTCTAGCCCACACGCAGAACACAATTCAGGAGGCAGAGAATCAGGTGAAGGATATTTATTCACACAGTGGCACAGGGGAAAGTGGTCCCGGGAAAGGGGGCTCCAGGAGCGGTCAGTGAGCGAGCCGATAGCCGGAACGGGCTTACTTGGCTCGAGTTCAGAGTTTGGCTGGGAAGCCGGCGGGAGGGAAACAGAGTGGCTCGGGTCCAACGGGTGCGAAGCCGGAGCCGGAGCCGAAGAGCTCCGGAAAAGCTGGAACGTGGATCCTCGGGTGGCACGGGAGGCTCGGGCAGCCTGGGGGAGATCCAGGTCCTCTGGGCAAGGCACCTGGCGGCAGGGAGCAGGAGAGTAGATTCACTCAGTGAGTTTTACACAGAGAACAGAGACTGGCTCAAGAGGGTTCGGAGTTACCATTACTGGCTAACACTCAGGCGTCGAAGATCTGGAAGTCCGCTCCTTAAGTATGCCGGGTGGGTCTTCTTAATTGGGACCAGGTGTGCTGGGAGGTGTCAGGTGAGACCGGGGATGTGCAGCTGGCCGCCTCTAGTGGCGGAATGGTGAGTGGAAAGTGCAATGCGGATCAGTGAATCCCTGACTATGACAAATGCACTTTATAGAATATTTTGCACTGTATTAAAACATGACGGGCACAGATCGAGGACTTATGAATTAAATTCTTGGCAGCCTCCCACTGCTCCTCCTCCACCCCAGCACCCAACTCCCCCTCCCATGCTGTTTTAGCAAAGGCTTCAGGTCTTGAGGTGTCATTATTATTAATAGAATTATATACGAATGAAAAACATTTTTTCCGTTGTGGGTCTAATTGTAGAAGAGTATCTAAAAGTGTTTCAGGGGGTCGATTAGGAAAGTGTGGGAACACTTTTTTAACATAATCCCTGGCCTGAAAGAACCGAAAGAGATGAGAATTGGGCAGTTGGAATTTGGATGAAAGTTCCGCAAAGGATGAGAAGGTATTATTGTTATAAAGATCCTTTACAGTCTTGATCCCTCCGTCGTGCCACGAGTTAAAAACTAAATCAGTGACTGAAAGCATGAAGTTACAATTTTTAGCTAAAGGAGTTTGTATTGAGGGTCCATGCAGGCCAAACTGTTTCCTGAATTGGATCCAGATCCTTAATGTGGCTTTAACTATGGGATTGTTCTCTATCAGGGAGAG